CCCCAAAACCCCAAAACCCCAAAACCCCGTGTAGGAATATAGAGATTGAGTAATAATGTTGGATATGATGGTTTGGATGGATTTTTGGGGATTAGTGTTTTCAGATGAAATGGCACTCTACTGTGGTACCGATGTTTTCTTCAGAAGAGAGAGTTATAGCCCCGCCTAATCTTTCGATAAGCATCTTGCAGATGGTGAGACCTAGTCCACAACCAGTCCTGTTCCTGTTATTGTTGGAGCTAAGTTTGCCGAAGAGCTTGAAGAGGGCCCTTTGGTCCTCTTCTGATATACCAACTCCTGTGTCTATTACTTTGAAAGCGATCATCATTGAATCGGTGAAGTCTGACTCTTCGTTAGCATTACTGTTGAATCTGGACCTTCGAGTGTGGAATAGGTATTTCGATCAGTCATTTTTGGTCTGAGAGCTATCAGGCAACTCTGAAAGCAAATCTAGAGAATAAGTTATTAGTAAAATACCTAAAGCTTCATCAGAGATATTGTGTTTATCAAACTTTACTTCCTCATAAGATTTTGATTCTTCAAAGTTTTTAGATTCTTCATAGATAGAAACTCTTCTTTGGTCTAGCTTTTCATAAACCTCAATGGTGATAGAGCCTCTGTCCGTGAATTTTAGAGAATTTGACACCAGATTCACGATGACTTGCTTCAATCTTCCTTTATCTGATAAGATTGGCAGATCTTTAATTTTCTCTTGTATTTTGATGTTGAACTCAAGTCCTTTCCCATCCATTTGCAGCATAAATATTTCTTGGATATCTTGAATGCATTGAGCCATTGTGAAGACTTGGTTATTTACTTGGAAGACTCCTGAAGCTATCTTGGCATGATCCAAGATGTCCTCTACTAACATTCTTAGAATACTTCAGGAGGATGAGGCAATCTGGACAAAGCGGTTGTTCTTGCCGTACTCTTCAGTTTTCATTAATTCCAGAGAGCCAATGATTGAGTTCAGAGGGGTCCTAAACTCGTGGGAAACATTGGCTAGCATCTGGCGCTGATAATAATTTTGAGCCTTGGCCTCTTCAAGCTGACTAATCTTAGTAGTATCAATAAACATATGAATGCATGAAGGATCTTTTCCTGAAGTTGCAACTGCATCTAAGATTGTTGTTTTTATAACAAATTCACGATGCTTTCTGTCACTCTCTCTTGTACAAAGCTGATATTTCATGTGAATCTTAGTCTCCTTGCATCAATGAATGCCTTTGATGATTGAATCACGCTCTTGTTGTAAAAACTGGGCTAGAGTTTGCTCTCCGTCTCTATAATCTCCTAATTGAGGCATTAGAAAGTCTTCATCTTTTATAAGGAAGCTTTCTGATGAGGCCGGTTTAGCCTTATTTCTATGGAAAGCATTAGTATTTATCCTCTTAACTATGAATTTGTCTAGTAATTTATGCAAGAATTTATTCTGAGGCTCAGATCCTCTCTTATTAGGGCTTGGGTAAGTCAAAGAGAGTCCTCTGATAATCTTTTCCAGCTCTTGATTTGTTTTGGCTTGAATCAGGGAGACTGCGTTTTTAATTTCCTCAGACTTGTAAAATCCGCTGATTTCGAGAGTATCCTTAATCTTTGGGTTGATATATTTGTATTCATTGTCTTTACTAGCGATTAGTACTCCTTCTGGAAGTCTATTGAGTACTTCTTTCTGACCTTTTAGTGCATTCTTCTTGTTATAGTTAGCAATGAATTCACTTTTCAATGTATTTGAGTAACAATAGGAGCCGAAGATAAAGAAGAATAGCGCATAAATTGAACCGAGGTAGTAGAAGTCTGTGAGCACACCAAATCTGCTTTGTAGTCTAATAAGACCATAGAGGCTCAGTCATAACTGGTTGATACAAGCCATCTTCCAGTTTGTAGTCACTCATGTGCTGAAAATTAGTGCACAAACAATTTGGAAGAGGTATCCTTCGTTCAGTCTAAATGTTAGAAAGATTTTACCTAAAGTATTCAAAGTAGACATTAACTTCAGTCAAATGGATGTAAATTAGTGAAGATATTATGACTCCAGAATAATTCGCAAGCCAGTCATTGCGCTTGATCCCCTTTTCTAAGAGATGAGTAATGATCAGTTCAACTACCATTGCTGCTGCCCGTTCCAAAAACATCTCTTTCTGGCTTATAATAACATAGAGTAACATCGAGAATAAGCCTAATCTGACTACTCTAATCAGTACCTTCCAGTTATTTGCGGCTATGAACCAGCCTTCTTTTGTAATACTCTTGTTCCAAGCAGGGGTCATCTGGGAATTCATCAAACGAAAGGTCAAGATACCTTCAAAGCATTGCTAATCTCTGAAAATACTCATTATTCAGCCCTTGTAGCTCCTATGAAGCCATTATTTCCACTACTGAACACCAAAAGCAAAGTTCTAAAATTTCAGGCTTAAAAATCTCCTTGGAATCTAAGTTCAGAGATTTGAGTTTTTGAAGTGTAAAATTGCTGAAAAGCACTTTGGCTTACCATTTTTGTGTCAAATTTATTTTATATCAATTGTATGATTTTGGCACGGGGTTTTGGGGTTTTGGGGTTTTGGGG